GGCCCCCCGAGCGGGAGGGGCGCCCGGCGGCAGGAGGCCTGAGGCCCGCGGGCCGTGGTGTGCCATGAAGTGGAGACCCATGAAACTCTAATGTTTATTTCGTGTTCTGTTATTGGAACCCCGCGCGGAAGACCAGAAAGAAAGAGTTGGCTTATTTTGCAGTGACCTGAATTTAGCATCAGATGTGAAAATCATGACATGACATTTTGGTGGGGAGATAAAAGCCGGACCACATGCCGAACAATATTGGCGACAGATGTGGGGGGGCAGCACTCAGGGGCGCCCCGCGCCTCGCCTTGGATGTTGGCGTGATTAGCAGTGAAAATATGCTTTGTTCCTGGCGCTCACATGGTCTCAATATTGGCAGTTATCATTTTCTTGTCTTCTTTTAAGTCGAACCTTCTCCCGTCCCCGGGACAGATGCACACAGCTGGCCGCGTAGACGCCTTCAGAAATACCCAGATCTATGCGCTAAAAATAAGTGTGTGCGGGGGGGGGGGGTCCCTCTTTCCTTCATCCAGCCGTGCACACACATTCCGACAGATGCACAAAGAGCGGCTTTCTGGGCCGGCCCCGGCTCCGGCCCCGGGCGGGTCCCCCGGCGATGCCCGTGCTCAGTGGGTGCCCAGACACCCATTAACGGGCTGCAAACACGACTTTATTGCAAAATGACTGCAGCTTTATTAAGCAACTGGATTTACAGGCAATAACATAATCAATATAACATTAATATAGCACATAATTAAATACGAGTCCTACAAGGTCCAGCCTGTAGCCTGGAACATACAGAAGTTAATTGTTCTCAGCCCTGGTCCAACCGGAGGCTCCTCGCTACTCGGAAGAAGAGTCCCGGCTGCTCGCGTGGTTGAAGCACTTGATCCGGCGACAGCGGTCGCTGCGCCCCTCCGGCCCGGACTCGGGATGCGGCTGCGGCGGCGCTGCCCGGAGCACAGGGCATTTCACCTGCGTCCGGCAGAGAGAGGAGAGAGGGGGCCAGCGCCTGGGCTCCGCGGAGGTCAGCGTGGACAGGGCCACACGCTGAGAGGGCCCCCGCCAGGGCCTCAGCATGGTGGCCTCTTGGGGCCGGTGTTCAGTTAAATTCAGGGACCCCCTAAAATACCTCTGCAGTGAGCCCCGGAGGCGAAAGCC